AGAAAAAGAAGAAGAAATAATAGAAAAACATTGTGAAGAATATTCAGAACCATTTGATGCGATGAGTCTAATGAATGCAAGCATGAAAAACAGTGGGGTGTTGAAAGAAAAGGAAGACCCTTTTAAAGTACAAGTTCTAATACACCAGGTTCATTCCCCTAATTGTATTTATGTGTCTGATGCCATGTATGAACCAACAGATATAAAACAAATGATGGATCAGATGCAAGAATTTTACAGCAAATATCGCTCCGCGAAACGCGACTGTTGGAATGAAGGTGCTGTTTGTGCAGTATTTTTAGCAAAAAACAATATGTATTATAGGGGTAGTGTCGTTGAAATAAAGTCCAAGGATCGAGTACTTGTATTTTTATATGATATGGGAAACGAGGAAATAGTCACGATAAATGACTTACAATCCTTGTATCCGCCATTCTTAAAAATACCAACTTATGTTTTCAAAATCAAATTAGCCGGTATATTACCTTGTGGAGGATCAAGGAAATGGCCGTCATTGTCCTGTCAGGAATTATGTGAAATTACAAAGAACGAAAACTGTAAATTTTACGTAACAAAGCTTGTAAGTATTTTACATTGCATAATAATGTTTACTTTTAACTAAATATTAGTGTACATATATACTCTGAAATATTGCTATAGATATTGTAAATTATATTTAGTCGCAAAAGTATATTCTTATATTCTTATGTTGATCAACTTATCTTATTTTGCAGGAGAATGATGACATACAAGATTCTGCGATACCGGTAGAACTCTGGATAAAAGAAAGTAAAATAGACGGACCTTTATCTCCTACAAGGATTGAAATTAATTCGGTGAATAGAATGTTAGTTGAAAAAGGTGTTGCCTTACCTATAAAAGGGTATGTAATATTCAACAAAGATCCTTAGAGCAATTATTTACTTTTGCTTATTTGTTTGAGAATTTAAGCTTATTTTAATGTTTCTTTACATATTTAGATATGCTAAAAAACGTGATAAAATCTTGGCGATTGAATTAAAATCACAATTGATGAAAAAATTAGAAAGATTGTCGAAAAGCGAATCAAACGTGAAGTGGTTTAAAATAAATGACGAAAACGATTCTCACTCTAGTACAAGCGATAAAACAGATGTTAAAACATTCTTACGATACTCGGATTCCGACAGTCAAGAGTACAGTTCGGAAGAAATACTTTACAATATACCATCGCTACCAAGTTTAAATGCATGGTTACCAGCAGAGGACATATTGAACGAGACATTTATTGCTCTACCTACAAATCTGGACCATAACGGTTACTTATATCTGCATTCTGTAGAGCAGAGTATGTAAATTTTATGATTTAATAGCAAGTGTAGAGTATACATGGCGTGCATCATTGCAATTACTGCTTATACAATTATATAAAGGAATTTTAAGGAAGTTATAACTTCAACACATTATATATACTCTTATATATACTATTTGCAGATGAAAAAATATTGCTTGATATAGAAACAAAATTGCAAAAATTCTACAAAAATTCTGAAATAGAAGCATGTGATACAGTATGGGCTGCAGGGAACATGTGCATTGCTCAGTATCACGCAAATAAAAAATGGTACCGAGGAAAAGTGTTGAAGATCTTGGAAAATGACATAGTTGAAGTAAACATTTGTTTATCAACTCAAATATATAATAACTTTTATGTAAACTTCCATGGTACTATAAAACTTTTATGTTACAGGTGGAATTTGTGGATTATGGTAATGTTGAGGTATGTTCTATTGGTACTTTAAAGAAAAAAGTGATTTTGGAGAATATTCCTATACAATGCAGCAAATGTTTAATTTATGGACTAAATCCGGTAAAACTTTTACTCATTCAATTTATTCTTCAACGTAGAATATCTTTTTAAAAATTTACTCGTGTAAATTTCTTACGTGTTTCAAATTTTCTTGATAGGGAGATGAACATGGAAAATGGATGGTAGAAGATTTGGACAAAATACATTGTCTCCTTATAGATAAAAAATGTGAAGTGTCTATCTTAGATAAAACCAATAACGTTTACATTGTGAGTATATAATAAAAAAATATTCTTTCAGAAGCAAGATTTGGATTTCTATAATTAAATAGAATAAGATTTCCATAGCTTATTGTAATTATTATTACATATTTTTATTTAATTCTATAAATTTATACATTTTTTCTAATCCACTTTTTTTTGTACATACATACTTTCAGATTTCTGTAACAATATTTCCAAACAAATACTGTCGAAACAAGAGTGACTTAATTACATTTCTCATCAACGATTGGGGTATGAATATTAAACCTGATAGTGAAATGAATATATCAGAAAAAGAATCATCCTTCACGGATACAGCAGACGTAATAATTGAAAATTCAGACTTACTATACTCAATTGACAGAATGGAAGAAATAAATGAAGTAACGCTAGAAACAGAAGAAAAGATAAAAGATAAACTAATCAGTGGATATTCTCCATTGATACAAGATAATGCACTGAATGAAAGTGGTAGCATTGCTACAACTGACGTTGAAAATTTGTCATGGTGTATTGTAAAAAGTAATATAGTTTCTTCTACGCCTAACGTTGTTTCGGAAGAAAATCTTTCAGTGGTTTATAAACTAGTCAATATCCCAAAAGATTTACAGTACATTGAAATAGAACTATGCTGTAACATTTCTGCTACTGAATTTTATGCTCGGTTGAAAGAAAATGCACACTCAGTAGTATGTATCAAAATTCTGTTGCTTGTTTCATTTCCTCTAGAACAGGTACAGTACATTTGATATTCTTTCCTTTTTAGGTTTTGAGTGCATACTATGCCCAATATAAACTTCTTATGGAAGATTTACAAGAAAATGCTCCCAAGCAACCAGTACTTACAGATATTACACTAAGTGAGTATTATTTGTTAACAATTCCATGAAACTAACCGCAATATTTATACAATTTTATTTAAATAAATATATAATTATTCAAAATGTAGTATGTACAATTTGTATATTTATAAGTTAAAGAAAATGTAACTTTATTTATAGACACACCTTGCTGTGCAAAATTTAATGATGATCTGTGGTACAGATGTTTAATAATAGAAAGTGATACTATTGAAGATACAAATGATATCGAAATTAAATTATTGTATGTTGATTATGGCAATGACGAATACAGAACAGTTAATGCTCAAAAGTAAGTTGTACTTATTGTATTTTAAATTTTGATTTGATAATTAATATTAATTTAAATAAAATAAAAGCCGTATATTATTAATTTTGCTCCTTTTATTTACATAAAAGTTGTGAGTTATATACTCTAAAAAAAGAATGGGCAGACGTTCCAGCTTTAGCAATGAAGTGCAGATTATGGAATGTAGACGTTGTTCCCTCCGCAGATGAAACTAAACTTCTAACCGAAATACATAAAATGTATAGTAAACCTGTTGTAGGTACAATTAAGGTAAATAAACATGCAGTATAATAACTATTGTCTTCATTATTACATATATTTAAGAAGGTTGAAATGTTAAATCTGGTTGTTTTAGGAAATTGATAAAGAATATACAAGTCTCGAGCTATATGAAGACACAAATCTTAAAAAACTTTTATATAGTTCACTCATCGAAGATGGCTTATTTAAGATTAAAACAAACAACGAACAAATCGCATTCTTTAAAAATATCAGCAAATAGTTTATTTTCGTAACGTTTATAACGATACATCAGTATGAAAATATTAGACTCCGATGTGCAATTATATGTATTTATGTTTATCATTGTTATATTACTAAATGTTCGTCATTGATTCAAAGAAATAATTATTTTAAAAAATTTATTATCTGCAGAAGCTTAAACTTATATATTATAATTTTACAATTTTTTTTAGAGAAATTTAAAAAATTTATAGAAAATGTAAAGATTAATATATTAACGTTGCGTACTTTTAGCAATTTGCTCTTTAAGTACCAAAATACTTTGTCTTTGTTCAGGTGGTAGCATAGCTATTTGTTCATCAGATAACTGCAGTACTTGCATTATCAAAGCAGCCTGTAATATAATTGTTCATTATTTTCATGTTCTTTCTTACATTATATAGATATGACTACGTAATATTTTTTACAATTTGTATAAATAAAAATTCAAATAATATATTATACGTATGTTTAATGTCTTAATATATACCTTCTCCTGATCTGATGCCCCACTGGGTATATTTCCTGTTGATGGCATTCCCGCCATGAGTCTTGAAGTTGCTGAAGTAGTGGCAGTCGTAAGTGAAGTAGCAGGAACAGCAGTATTTGTTGCAACAACATTTGAAGACTGAACAGTAGGTGCAGCAACGGGTCTTGGTACTACCGGTGGAGCGACTGGTACTGGTGCTGAAATATTAGAAATTAAATTGTAAAGTTTGTTGTCCAATTTTTTTAGTGTTTCTTTATAAAGTGAAGGGCACAATTTCTTATATACAAATATCCTCATATGTTAATTTAAAAACTTACGATTCGCTTTTGTAATTCTAGGATCAATTGGCATTCTTGGATCCCTAGGATCTCTTGGATCTCTACCAAATCTATCCGTTCTTGGATCACGGCAAAAACTGAAAAAAATATAAAATTTTACAGACATCTAAATTACAGAACTTTAAAATTATCTGAAGTAATCATGAAACCTCTCAACTCCTTCAACAGGAAGAGCGCTGTAAAATACAGTATACTTTTTAATTATAACGTTATCTACTGATTTTTTAACAAATGAAAATTGTACTTACTTATCTGCTATATTAAATGTAGCCAGTCCCCTAGGATCAGTATTAGCAGATACTGGTGGAGGTGCACTAACAGGTGTTGGTGGTACTTGTGGTCCTCTTAGATCTTGATCCATTCTAGCTAAACGTGGATCCATTTGTCGATCTAATGTACGTAAATCAACATCTTGTCCTATAAAGATGAAACAAATATGTCTAAACTAGGTACTAATCTTTTAAATAGTATTTTATACAATATTTGTTCTTATTTAAATATCTATTCTTACCAGCAAAGATTGGTGCTGGAGGATTTGTAACTGGTGCTGGTCGTGAAGGAGCCCATGGTTCTTCTATTCTTGGTACAATAGGGTGTACAGCTGGTTTATCAGTAGGTGTTAGTACACTTGGAATTGGATTTGCTTTATGTAACATATTAACTGCTGTGTGAGGATCCACTATTCTCATTACTACCTGTGCTTGTAATAAGGCATATGCCAACTGAGGATTCTGAAGTAGCATTTGACGTGCCTCATTTGGATTGTTTTGAACACAGAGTTTCATTTGTTTCATAAGTTCAAACATTTGTTCCGGTGGCAGAGATGCAACAGCTTTACTTATGGCTTCTGGAGCTTTGTCAGCCTGTACTGCTTCCCCATATGGATTTTCAGTATTTTGTCCTTGCAAAAGACTTTGCATTTCCATCCGACTTTTTTCTGTACAAGCATTATCAACACGTAATGTTCTTCCACCGATTTCATATCCATTCAAATTTCTCATAGCACTAAGTGCTGTTTCTTGGTCTTTATATTCGCAAAAGCCATATCCTTTAGGCTTACCCGTTTCTCGGTCAAAAACTAATCTGTATGAAGTGATTCATGATCATTTAAATCAAGTCCAAATTAAAGTTTAAATAGAAAAGAAATAAATACAAATAAAAATTAATGAAGATATCGTATTTTTAATACAAAAATGTTGTGTATTTATAAATGATTGTCTATAAATGATTGTATTAGACATGACAGTTAAAGAAAGAATAGTTTCAATGAAAAGTAATACAGAAATACAAAAGAGACTTACTTAAAGGAAAGAACAGGCCCAACCTCACTGAAAATATCTTTCAAATTTTCTTCCGTGGCTTCGTACGGGATATTCCCAACTATTAAAACAAATTAGATGCATTTGAAGGTTATAAATCATTATTTATTAATAAAAAATAATTTAATAACGATATTTCTTACCGAAAACACTTCGCATAGACTTATCCATGAGCGATTGATCAGAAATAGTTGAATTACTCATTTTTGCAATTTATTCGCTTTTGTTTATTCTTCGAAGCTTGAATACACCCACTATTCTTCCCGTCACAGGAAAATCAAACAAAGTCCAATTCACATTGGTTCCCACGGAATCAAAATATTCTATAACTTACTATCTCACTTTGCATATTCATAGATCTTAACGTAGTCACAGACGAGGTATAAAGTAGAAATAGTAAAAATTAAAAGCGTGTTCTTTTTTATTATTTGAAAAGTTTGAAAAATTATTTGACAATTTATAAATATAAAATCTGCTCTTGCAAAAGATGCTACCAATACAAACACCTATTATCCGTAAAGTCTGTGTCTGATCATGGATGTTTATGGTGCTCATTAGTAGATGGCATTAAAATGTTTATTCAGCGCCAAGTTTCAAAAAATATAAATGTTAATAAAATATTCAACGGTATTCTTATGGAATAACAATAAAAGAGATTTTTGGAAATAATTTCACAAAACCGTACATGTATCTTCAATTAAGCAGAGTTTTCAGTTTTTCCATAATAATTAACTACACCATGTATTTACCTACATCATGCAAACTTCATGATCTTTAATGAATGATTTAATTCAACAGGAAACAATATTTCATCGCATTTAATACACTTATCTTACTCTTTAAGTTAACATACAGGTTCAAAAACTAAAATCTGATGATTTTTTGACAAGAAAAATGTAACTGAAAAATATAAACTAAAACAATCAGATTCAGTGTTTATTCATAATTCATATTTTTCCAATTTTACTGATTTCTTTTAATCAATTATTATCATTTAATCGCTAGATAGCTATATGCTATGTAATGATAAATGTAACGAATTGTACAGTACTAACAAAGATAACAAATATGTTAGATGAACAGCAGAAAAGCATTGCGAAAATAATTAAATTTTACTCTGCTCAAAAATAGAAGAGAATTAACGTATTAAATACTTAATTTTGTAAATACAATACTAACTATTTCACACATTGTCAGCCTCGCAGTTGCTATGCTAATGATTCACAGAAGAAATCAAAATAACAAAAGAGAGTAAAAAAATCCTATTTACATAAGTTCAGTTTTATGAAAATGAGACTCTTATCTAATGTTTCATTTTATCTACATCGTGTTGAGTTTATAGTGTTAACAAGATAACACGTACTCGAATGTTTATGTAATATGATATAAGGAGCACAGTTGATATTTTCAGGCTTAAATAGGCACATACGACGTTTCATGTATCATTCTTTATTAAACTGTCCGTTTGAATTAGATATAAGGACATTCATCAGAAATTATACCAAGTTTTTCTGATAGAACATGGCAACTTTAATTACAGACGTCGATGTAAAAGACGTAAGGTTCCCAACATCTCTGTTAGCAGATGGTAGCGATGCTATGGTAAGCAAACCATATTTAATAATCAATATTATTATGAATTATCAAATATTCTCCACAATACAAAGCCCAAATTTTCAACTATATAATTTAAAAACTTTAAATAAAATTGCAAATTAAATTGAAATAATGATTTGAATGAAAAGTTTTATTCTGATTGATATATGTTAATCTACAGCACACAGATCCCGACTATTCTTGCGCTTACGTTACGATAAAGACCAACAAAGGGATCGAGGGATATGGATTAACATTCACTCTGGGTAGAGGGACAGAAATCGGTACATTTAATAAATAATTTTTTCTTTACATGTGTTATTATTTCAATAATTAAGATTATTTCTAAATATATTCTCAGTTACTCAAGCATGCAAATCAATGTCCTACTTGGTAAAGGGACAGAATACTGTTGACATTTTCTCTAACTTTGGATCGTTTTGGAGGAAATTAACTAGCGAGACGCAATTAAGATGGGTAAATATCACTTACTTATAACTGATAAACGTATCACATAAGATATAACAAATTATTGTGAGATATAGTTGGGACCAGAAAAAGGCGTCACTCATCTTGCCACAGCAGCTATAATAAACGCGTTGTGGGACCTGTGGGCTCGATTAGAGAAGAAACCAGTCTGGAAACTCTTGGTGGACTTAACTCCTGAACAATTAGTTTCAACGATCGATTTCAGATACATGTAAGTAAACTACTATTAAATTGGAAAAAATTAATAATAACTATTTATATTTTATTGTATAGCACTGATGTCGTTACCAAAGAGGAAGCCATAGAAATGCTCAGAGCCAGCGAAGAGGGGAAAAAGGAGCGAGAGGAATTTTTAATAAAAAATGGTTATCCAGCGTACACCACGCAAGTGGGATGGCTCGGTTACAGCGACGAAAAAGTGAAGACTCTCTGCAAGAAGTTTCTGGATCTGAACTTCACATCCTTCAAAGCAAAAGTTGGTCAGAATTTGAAGGACGATATCAGAAGATGTCGCCTGATACGCGAAATGATTGGATATGAAAATAAATTGATGGTGGATGCAAATCAAGTTTGGGATGTCGATCAGTCGATAGAATGGATGAAAGAGCTAAAAGAGTTTAAGCCACTTTGGATCGAGGAACCAACATCGCCGGATGATATCTTGGGTCACGCGAAGATCGCCGAGGCGCTACGGCCATTCGGTATCGGCGTTGCTACCGGTGAAATGTGCGCCAACCGCGTTATGTTCAAACAACTTTTGCAAGCTAAAGCAATTAATTATTGTCAGATTGACTCGGCTAGAATTGGAGGAATTAATGAGATATTGTCCGTTTATTTCATGTCCAAAAAATTAGGAGGTAAGTTAGGAGGAGACACTATTGGGCACTGGAGGAGGCATTCTAATAATATTTTTATTCTAGTCCCTGTGTGTCCACATGCTGGAGGAATAGGACTCTGTGAAATGGTTCAACACCTTCAAATGTGGGACTTTGTTTCTCTCACTGGAACCACCAAAGAACGTGTGATAGAGTATGTTGATCAACAGCACGAACATTTTGAACAGCCTGTGAGGATTCAAAATGCTTGTTATATGCCACCCATGTCTCCAGGATATTCTACTAAACTGACAGATGACTGTTTAGAAAATTATGTCCATCCTGATGGAAAGCAGTGGAAGCATATGTATGAAAAGGGACTTTTCCAAAAAACATCATAGCCAATACCATGATGTACTGATTTATATTGATCCTACAATTGTTACATTGGTATCAATATATATTTTGCAAAAAAAGGAACAATAAATATAAAAATCTATTAAACCACAGCACACAGGAGAATTATTTATAAGAATATTAAGAATTATGTGTGGCTTACATGTACATCTATTGAAAGTTTTCTTTCCTCGAATAATAAATGTTCTAATTATTTAATCACTTTAAAGTGTCTTTTAAAGAGGTTCCATTGGCAACAATAAATTATGATATCAATTGTCCATTAACTACATGATTGCAGTTGTGATCTCACATAATCAGTCTACAAAGTAGAATAATTAATATTAATAAAATGGATTAGTATAAATTTAATATATTATATACGTACACTGACAAACCAATAGGAGTCAGCTTTGAACATGAACTTTCTGAGAAGACTCATATCTTCTATTGGAGAAATAACATGTAAATGCAGATGGTCCACTGTATTAAACGGTGGCCAATGGAATCCTGTACGAGTAGATGCAGAATCAAGTCCTTGTTTTTCTAATATCTTGTCCACGGTAGAGACCATTTTTTCATCTGAAATATGCATTAATTAATATAAAATATATCACAACCATACCTCAATAAATGAAAAAAAAAATTATAACCTTCTAAGACTTACAAAGTTCTGCATCATTGATTGTAAGCGCTTTTGCGTTACGTATATGCTTATTTGGTAGTATTAAATAATGGTGAGTCGAAGCTGGATTAATATCCTTGATGCATGTTACATCATCATCCTGTAAAACAATTGTTTTACGGTTTCTTACGTTATGACAGATGAGGTTAATTCCTTCATACCTCATAAATTTTTTCACTCGGTGCTTTATCTTCTATAATTTTACAAAAGATACAATTTTCCAAATGAGTCTCCATGGAGTTGATGTAGCAGTTATGTTGTCATCCGACGGGGATACTGACTTTGTCAACGTCGTTCACTCTGGACTTTGGAATTTTATTGAAACTTGATTACTCAAATAGTTGACAGGAATATATATACAGAGGGCGATTCAAAATGATTCGAACGATTTTTTTTATCGCGTAGTTTGTCAGTCAAGCGTTTTATTTTCTTAGTAAGCATTGAAATCTATACAACGCATGAAAGAAATTAATTCATTGGAAAAAACAAGCAATGAATGTTTGCAATTATTAAAATCAATGCGTATTAAACGCTAAATATTATATTTATCAATTGGTACTATCTACTAAAACGCAAGGTGTAAAGCATTAGTATCAAAGATTGAATGAAACTAAATAAACGATAATGAAATATTATTACAAGTAACATTATTTATTTCAAGTCAATAATAACCATTTAAATTAAATCTGGGAGATGTGGTAATTAAACAAGCCTGATTTTTAAATTGCATTACTTTTTAATTTAAAATATATAAACTGTACATATATTTATAGGTGGTATATGTATATATATTCTTTTTCATATATTTTTTTATATAGTAGTGAGCATGATAAATTAATAATACATTTAACATATTTTTACAGGTGGCAGTTGAGACAACAGAGAAATACTTTCTCTGTTTCCAAGAAACGATAAAAATCACTAAAGTCCTGCTTTATCTTTCTATTTTCTTGTTCACGTTTTTCAAACGGAGTTTCATTTTTTCTATATATTTAACAAAT